GAGTTTCACCTTGGAGAGCCAATTTATACCCAGTAGGGACTTGCTGGATCCACACACTATGATCAGGGGTAGCACTTTTTGGCCACAGCTTGCAAAACAGCTGTTCCCACATCAATGACACTGCTGCAACAGTATTGACTTCCCACTGCACTGGCTTTCCATCCACTTGCACTGTTATCTTGACCAGATGGTTTTCACTTGCTGTTGTCTCCTGTATAGACTTGTTGATCCTCAGGAGGTACTGCTCAGGTGGGCCTTCATGCTGGGCTTGCAGATGGTGTGGTTGGTCCATCTGTTCTACTATGGTAAAACCATGCTGACCTTTGTTGCAACATGCTGTTTGAGTGTGACCACATTATGTTTTCCACAATGAAAGCAGTCCTGCTTTTTAAAGGAGCACTCCCACTGGCCATGTTTTGGGCCGTAGCATCTTGCACGTCTTCTGCATTTGAAACACTGTGACTAGGCTGGTTGCTTTGGTGCATTTTGTTTTGCATCAGGTTTGGGGTGGGCTCTTGTTTTTGCACTATGTTTTGTGCCTGGACATTTGCCTGTGGCACAGCAAATCTGTCTGAATGGCATGCTTCAATGGCACATGCATGGGCTCCGGCTTTCTCCAAGCCTCTTGCAAATGAGTGCAATTCCTTGAGTCTCATTTTCTGTTGCAGCGCCTTTTCTGTCACCCTGGAATCTCTGACTCCCGTGATCACCTGCTGGCAGATTTCCCAGGCAGAATCAGTGAAATCACAAGTACTGGCAAGGTGCCCGACGCCAGCCAATGCGTCAGTGGACTCACTCTCCATCTGCATCGTTTGGTGGAACACATCACACTCGTCATCCATATTTTTCTGTGGAACAAAATAAGACCCAACCTGCCTGCACATCTTTTTGTGGACATCTGCAGCCTCTCCCGCAACAGGTGGGGGCTGTGGCAGTGTTTCTTGTTGATCAAACACTGCAGGGCCAGCAAAATGGAGCAAGTAGCGTTTTTCCAGGCAGGATCAGTATCCTTCAAGTACTTCACCTTTTTTAGAAGAAGAAAAATCTCCACCGCGAGCGTTTTACGCGCAGTGCGGCACGGGCTCAACCAGCTCGCGTTAGCAGGATTGCCCAACTTTGAAATCATACAATCCAAACGACATCTTTAGCACCAAAAATAATGAGCAGGCAATTAACATTATTCACTACGTCGTTTCGACCGCTGCTACTCACAATGCTCGCATGCTTGCCTATCATCTTCAAGAAATAACCATCTGATAATATAATAATTTCGGCCACAAACAGGTCATATGATTTTTAACACGCAGACAGCCGACGATTTATAGCATGTACTAAAAGGGCAGCATAAGCACCAAATTACGTACATTCGAGCAATCAAGAAAAGTATCCCAGTTCTTCACATTCGTGTCTCGAATTGATATTTCCAAACAGACAGCACAGAGAAAAACCCAACAATGTCAACGGAACTGAAGCATTTCCAGCAGTCTTAAAAAACGGACCAAGCCACGGGAACCAAACACCGAAGCCAAGCCAACGTTTTCGGTACGGTACATTGACGTCGATTAGCGCAGTGCATCTCATACACGAGTCCGGATAATGTGATTCACACTTATTAGGACCAAACAATCGTGACGACACTGTCGCTTAAACTACAACACTTGGGTTCAATTAACATGACTACTCCGTTGCCGTGACATGCCGCCATCATGTGCAGAGGGACTGTCATAGCACCCTCTTAAAGTAGTGCACCTCTTGCACAATTCTAACGAGCAAGGCTTGAAATCGCTCTGACATCAAGAGACATACTTTGCCGAGATATTATGCCAACAGCCACCCTAAGGGAACGGATCAAGCCCCGGGAAACGAAGACTGAAGCAAGGCCAGCGTTTTCGGTACGGTACATATACGTCTATTAGCGTAGTGCACCTTACACACGAGTCCGGATAATGCGATTCACACTTATTAGAGCTAAACACGTCGTGCTGACAATGTCGATGGAAATGCAAGACGTCGGTCCGATGAATTAGACTCATACATTGCCGTGAGATGCCGCCATCATGTCGTGCAGAGGGACTGTCGTAGCACCCTCTTAAAGAAGTGCACCTCTTGTACAATTCCAATGAGCAAGGCCTGAAATCGCTCTGACATCCAGAGACATACTCTGCCGAGATATTATGCCGACAGCCACCCTAAGACAACGGACCAAGCACCGGGAAACGAAGACTGAAGCAAGGCCAGCGTTTTCGGTACGGTACATATACGTCTATTAGCGTAGTGCACCTCACACACGAGTCCGGATCATGCGAATCACACTTATTAGGACCAAACACATCTTGCTGACGATGTCGGTAGATATGCAAGACTTCGGTCCGATGAATAAGACTCATGTATTGCCGTCAGATGTTGCCATCATTGGCGGACGGACTGCAGTAGCACCCACTTCAAGTAGTACACCTCTTGTATAATTCCAATTGACGAGACTTAGAAACCGCTCTGAATCCAAAGACGTACTCTGCCGAGATGATATGCCAACAGCCAGCCAGCCAGCCGTCGTGCGGACAATGTCGGTTGAGTTACAACACTTCGGTTCAATGAACAACACCCATGCATTGCCGTGAGATATCACCATCACGTTGCGCGGACTGGCCGTAGAAGCAGCCCTTAAAGTTGTGTACCTCTTGCATTATTCCAGCTGTCGAGACCTCAGTACGGCTGCGGCATCCAATAACATTTTCTACCGAGGAAGTACTCTCGTGTATAAGGTACGCTGCGCCTATAAATATATATGTACCGTACCGAAAACGTTGGCCTCGCTTCGGTCTTCGGTTTCCGGGGCTTGGTCCGTTCCCTTAGAATTGCTGTTGACACATTATTTCGGTACAGTGTGTCTTTGGATGACAAAGCGGTTTTTAGGTCTCGCCAACGAATTATGCAAGAGGCGCACTACTTTCAGAAGGTGCTACTACAGTCTGTCCGCACATGATGGTGACATCCCACGACAGTGCATAAGTCTTATTCATTGAATCAAAGTATTGCAGCTCAACCGACATTGTCGGCACAATGTGTTTATTTCTACTTAGTGTGAATCGCGTTATAAGGGCTCTTGTTTCAGGTGCTCCGCACGACTAAACGTATATGTACCGTACCTAAACCGCTGCCTTTGCTTCGGTCCTCGGTTCCCGGGGCTTGGCTTCGTTCCTCAGGGTTCGTGTCGGGATGTTATCTCGGCGGGGGGTGTCTTTGCCTATCAGAGTGGTTTTTAGGTCTCGCCAATCGGAATTATACAAGAGGTGTACTACTTTAAGAGGGTGCTACTACAGCCTGTCCGCACATGATGGCAGCATCTCACGGCAATGTATCAGTCTTATTCATCGAACCGAAGTCTCGCAGTTCCGCCGTCATTGTCAGCACGATGTGTTTTATTTTCCATAAGTGTGAATCGCCTGATCCGAACTCGTGCATGAGGTGCACTGCGCTAATAGACGCATATGTGCCGTACCGAAAACGCTGGCCTAGCTTCAGTCTTCGGTTCCAAGGCTTGGTCCGTATCCTTAGGATTTTTATTGGCATATTATCTCGGTAGAGTATGTCTTTGGATGTCAGAGCGGTTTTTAGGTCCCGCCAATTGGAATTATACCAGAGGTGTACTACTTGAAGAGGGTGCTACTGCAGTCCGTCCGCCAATGATGGCAACATCTGACGGCAATGCATGAGTCTTATTCATCGGACCGTGGTCTGGCATATCCACCGACATCATCAGCAAGATGTGTTTGGTCCTAATAAGTGTGAATCGCATGATCCGGACTCGTGTGTAAGGTGCACTACGCTAATAGACGTATATGTACCGTACCGAAAACGCTGGCCTTGCTTCAGTCTTCGTTTCCCGGGGCTTGATCCGTTTGCTTAGGGTGGCTGTTGGCATAATATCTCGGCAGAGTATGTCTCTTGATGTCAGAGCAATTTCAAGCCTTGCTCGTTGGAATTGTACAATAGGTGCACTACTTTAAGAGGGTGCTACGACAGTCCCTCTGCACGACATGATTGCAGCATCTCACGGCAATGCATGAGTCTTATTCATCGGACCGAAGTCTTGCAGTTCCATCGACATTGTCAGCACGACGTGTTCAGTTCTAAGGGTGTGAATCGCATTATCCGGACTCGTGTGTGAGGTGCACTACGCTGACAGACGTATATGTACCGTACCGAAAACGCTGGCCTTGCTTCAGTCTTCGTTTCCCGAGGTTGATCCGTTTCCTTAGGGTGGCTGTTGGCATAATATCTCGGCAGAGTATGTCTCTGGATGTCAGAGCGATTTCAAGCCTTGCTCGTTGGAATTGTACAAGAGGTGCACTACTTTAAGAGGGTACTACGACAGTCCCTCTGCACGACATGATGGCAGCATGTCACGGCAACGGAGTAGTCATATTAATTGAACCCAAGTGTTGTAGTTTAAGCGACAATGCCGTCACGACGTGTTTGGTCCTAATAAGTGTGAATCACATTATCCGAACTCATGTATGAGATGCACTGCGTTAATAGACGTCAATGTACCGTACCGAAAACGTTGGCTTGGCTTCGGTGTTTGGTTCCCGTGGCTTGGTCCGTTTTTTAAGACTGCTGGAAATGCTTCAGTTCCGTTGACATTGTTGGGTTTTTCTCTGTGCTGTCTGTTTGGAAATATCAATTCGAGACACGAATGTGAAGAACTGGGATACTTTTCTTGATTGCTCGAATGTACGTAATTTGGTGCTTATGCTGCCCTTTTAGTACATGCTATAAATCGTCGGCTGTCTGCGTGTTAAAAATCATATGACCTGTTTGTGGCCGAAATTATTATATTATCAGATGGTGATTTCTTGAAGATGATAGGCAAGCATGCGAGCATTGTGAGTAGCAGCGGTCGAAACGACGTAGTGAATAATGTTAATTGCCTGCTCATTATTTTTGGTGCTAAAGATGTCGTTTGGATTGTATGATTTTACGCACAGCCGTGCATAAAACGCTCGCGGTGGGGGTTTTTCTTCTTCTAAAAAAGGTGAAGTGCTTCAAGAATCCTCAAATACTGTATGTGCAGAAATTAGTGGCGACCGTGCCAGAGTCAGCTCTCAGATGTGCTGCGTGCATGTGCTGAAATTTTTGTTTTCTGGTGTTGCTGCTTAGCTTGAAATATTCAGCACAACATGTGTTTTTTTTGCAGTTTTTGCATCTCACCAAATGTGTGGGGCTTCAGTCTGAGGACCATGTGCAGTATTGGAAACTGACTTGGACGGACCATTCACTCTATACAGGGCCTCGCATTCACTGCGGTTGTGACACATTAAGTTCATTTTGCATGATGTTTGGGTGATGCCATGTTTTGAAAATTGTCAGGCATGCACTATAAATATTCAAGGGTTTACCTTCTGCTTGCTATGGCAGGCCAGTAACAGTCTGAAAAATCTAGCCACTGCTATATGATCAAATGATGTAAGTGTGCTGCACATGGAACATGCTTGCAAGTAATTCTAGGTCAAATGATGCCAGGTCATATTATGCCAGACCAAATTATGCTTCACTGCAAATACCCTAGCAACATCATAATTTGTGAAAACATACAGACACAGACACAATACAGACACAAACAAACATGTGAAAACTGACAGAAGTGATCAGTGTGTGCTCAATGTTGTGGTGAAATGTTTGGACCATTGCTATGGTACAGGAACTAGTCACTTCCTGGATATTGGTGGTCTGATGATGTTGATATCTAAGTATGTAATTGGATGTCAATCTTAATGTGGCATTACCCCATTAATGCTGGTAACTGTCATACTGAATTGTTATCACCTATTAGTAACCTTATGGTTGACTTGCTCATTACCACACATTGATTGTATATGAGAATAGCCCTCTTAGCCTTTTACAAGAGCTTAGCTGTTATCAACACTGTATTTCAATTGATATGGCTAGTGTCACTTCTTCATACAAAATGTTTTACAGAAAGCATGAATGCTCAAGATGCACAGGATGAAGAGGACACCACTGGTGCCTACAATCTAAGGTATTTGCATGCTGTATGGTGCATCTATTGCTAGTTACCATAATGTTGATCTGTACAGATATGATAAAAGAACCGATGATGAACATCTGAACATGCTTGAAAGTGCACATGGAGCAGATTTATTGAGCTGCACTTTTACACATTGGAGAAGTGTGTTTTTTTTGTGCCTGATGACTGGAGCAGGCATCTGTGCATATATGGCAACAATTTACAGTCAGAATGTGTATGGTACTTTTCACTTTGGCCAACTAGAGCTTCAATGTATTTGTGCTTTTGTGTCACATATCTTGGCATTAATTTTCTTTATGGTTTAAGCTACATTTACATAATCTCCATATCCAAGTCCGATATCTGCATCTTACGTGCAAAGCCTACTTGCCTGAAAGCATGTGCATTGGTCTTCCATTCATTGCAAATGAACTCTTCTGTGATCAACATGCAACATACAATGATACCATGTTCATACAAATCTGAGCAAACACCTTCTGCTATCCAGGGGGAGACGTAGCATCCACAGCTCACATGAGCAGGAGAGTCTAGGCGTGCCCAGCCCCCGGTGGACCCGTTCCACAGAGGGGCTGGCCGCCCTCAACACAGCTGACCATGCCGAGCTAGAGCTGCCGGCCCGGAGTGTGCGCTCCTTTCCTGGGGCAGGGGCTCGGCAGTGCGCGCCACGGCCAAAGTCGGCGCGGCCCGGCCGACGCACACCGCCGTGCCCGCCCGGCTGGCGCTTCGCCAAGAAGCCCACGCACCCGGAGCCGACGTGCGCGGAGGAGCTGGACACCCCGTGGACGCACACGGTCTGGTGCCACGACGGGCACCGCTGCGTGCAGTACTGGAAGTTGTCAGCGGAGCGGGACACGCCGACGGGGCCCACCCTCCGCCAGAGGCAGGCACGCGAGAACCCTGCCACTCCCTCGCCGGCACCTCCTCCCAAGCGGGGGCGGGCCGAGGGGCAGTCCCCCTGCGCTGCTCTCCCGCGCAGGGCGGCGGCGTCGGCCCGCAGTGCGCCGTTGCCGCTGCTGTACACCGTCGCGGCTCTGCTGGTCCTGCTGCTGGTCGTCGCCTACTGGAGCTGGACGACGGGCGTGCCGCCGCCGCCGCGCGTAGGCTTCGTCGACGTGCCGCGCCAGACAGCCGACGTGCACCGCTGGGTAGACAAGGTGACCGAGCTGAGTACCCAGTTCCCGTTCCAGCGGGTGCAGCTGTGGAAGGTGCTGCGTGCCGCCGTCAACCGCATGCTGCTGCTGACGAGCCAGCCGGCCGTGTTCCTGCTGGTGTCGGGGGAGCGGCACCGTGCCGAGGCCGCCTGCCTGCTGCGCGCCGTCGCCGCCGCCGCGCTCAACGCCACCGGCGCTCCTCACGACCAGCCGCTGCATGTGGACGGCGCCGCGCTGGCGCCGCTGGACGAGCGCGAGGCCAAGGGCCGGCTGGGCGCGCGGCTGGACGCGCTGCGCGCCGGCGACGGCGTGGCCGTCGTGCTGCTCGAGGAGCTGCAGCTGCTGCAGCCGCGTGTCGCCATGCTACTGCACGGCTTCTGCGACAACGATAACGCGCCGCGTAAGAACGCCGTGTTCCTGCTGTCGGTAACGACGGCCCAGCCGCCGCCGGCAGCCGAGGCGCAGCTGGAGGAGGCGCTTGAGCGACGGCTCTGGCTGGCCTGGGGCGACGTGCTCGGCGAGGACATTTTCAACGCGCTGCTCGGCCGCATCGCTGGGAACGTGGCGTCGGTGGTGGGGGAGGGCGACCAGCTGGCCTGTCGCCGCGCGCGCACCTGACCCGACGCCGACAAGGGGGACCGATCAGCCGTTCGGATGCCGCGACCGGCGGCCTGCTGCGGGGAAGGGACGTGGTGGCGACGATGGCTGGCGGCGCTGGGCTGCCGAGTGTGATACGACCGTCTGTGATGGACGGGGCGGCCGGGACTCACGCTGGGACGCGTCGCCCGGCGGCCACGCGCTGTCCCCCGCCCCATACCGGAAGCCGCCCGGTGCCGGCGCAGCGCCGAGCGAGCTCGCAGTCCGCGGAGTCCGCTGAGGAGGCCGCGCAGCGGTGCCGGCGGCGGACGGAGGGCGTCTTTGCGTCTCCTCCGGGAAAGCGCGGGACGCTGTCCGTCGCCGTGGTGCCTTGTGTGCGCAATGCGCTCCGCGCGGGAGACTCGCCTCCCGCCAGATACCGCGGTGCCTCCGCGCCCGGTCCGACCCCGTGTATGCTGGGAATCAGTTGACGGATTGGGGAAGATGACAATGTGACTCGCGTGGAACGGTTGTGAACAGGTGGTGTGGGCCCGCTGTTCATTGGTTTTGCACTCAGCATTCTATGCATCGCGTACATTGATGAGTTGTTTCTGCTGTGATGCACTTGCTCGTTGCGACTGCCGCGACACGCTGTCTTGCTGGTGTCAGAGGCCTCATGTTTATCCTCCGTGGCCAGTTTCGTCACAGGTGTCGAGTGTCCGAAATTGCAGTTTTGGCTCAGTTCTTTTAAAGGATGAAATCAAAGGTTTGACGCTGCTGCAGACGAACACGGAAGCAGCACTGAGCAACATAGGGCAGAGCTGAACGTGCTGTGTTGGGTGGGCAGTATGTCGCCTCAGTCCATGCCCCGCGATCCAATGTCCAGTATTGACATGGTTGTTGCTGTCGTGCAGACACCGCACTTTTCAAACACCCGAATTCGAACAGAAATAGTATAGTACAGTCGTGGCCTGCATATGAAATGTGCCCGTGAGACTCCTTGTTGCTCTATGCAACCTCAGATTGAGTTGCCGGCTACGGAGAACTGAAACTGCATCAGCGCGCACGTCTGCTCTATTTCGGCACCTGCGGTGCAACGAAGCGTATGCGTTGAGATCATGGTTGTCCATTTGAAGTAGACATCACGCTTAGAATTCGTTACGTGTGCTGTGAGTTATTGTTTCGACTCCTGCTTCTTCCTGCTGCACATTTGGCCCAATTGAAATGATCGAGATTCACCAGTCTCTCGCCACTCATCGCCCATTCCATCCACCGCCTGGACGCTCACGCGGCGTCCTTGCGGCGAGCCGATCGCGTTCGCTCGATGATTTTGTTCGCGAAGTGTGTTGCGGTTGTTGATGCGGAGAGTAGGTTTGCTTGCATTCAATACACACCGGGTGGCACGACGAATCGGCTATAAAGGCTGAATTGGGACGTTAGCACGCGCACGGGTGGCCGGTTGGATACCCTTCGCTCGGGTGGAGGTCAATTTACCCCCTGAGATCTCGTGAACTAAGAGAGCTAGAGACACCAAATTCACAGGGTGTGTTGACCTGTACGTGAACCCTCTTAGGTCAAACTTTCAGGTTCCTAGGTCATGACCTTCGGGACGAATAAGGTCAAACGAGGTCAAATTCCAGATTGGTCTCCAAAGGGCCCCTAGAACCCAGGCAACTGTTCTAAGCAAAATTTCACGCGCTCAATTGAGGTCAATGACCTTGTTTGTCTTTTTAACGGGCGCCAGGGTGGCCGGTTGGACACCTTTCGCTCGTGTGAAGGGAGTCAATTCGACCCCCCTCCCCCCAAGAACCTCGAGAACTAAAAGAGCTAGGGACACCAAATTTACGGGGTGTGTTGACTTGTACAAAAACTCACTTAGGTCAAATTTTGAGGTTCCCAGGTCATCTTCGGGTCAAATAAGGTCAACTAAGGTTAAATTCCAGATTAGTCTCCAAAGGGCCCCTAGAACCTAGGCAACTGCTCTAAGCAAAATGTCACACTCGGTTAAGGTCAGTGGCCTTATTTGACCTTTAGAGGCCACGGTGACCAAAATGATGTAAGACTGCTTTAAGTTTTGCGTTTGGAAAAGCGATAAAAATTACGCTAGGCAGTATGCTCCTAAAAACAAAATGTTGACCTGGGTCGTTCTAGGTCAATGACCCATTCTGACCGATAAGAAGTCAATGGAAGGTGTAGAATGCGGTTTCTGCTATCAATATATTCGTAATGAATACCAGAAACCGGCCTATATAGCAAACCCGACAGTAATAAAACAGGTTAGCCTTGACCTTGGTCTTTCATACCTGACTCTAGGTCAATGCTATTTGTTTCTTCACTTGCTGTGTTGCCTAAGACAGTATTTTAGAGACGTATGGCTTCGTCTAGCCCTCCGTTGTTTGATCGGATTGAACTATTCCCTGGACATTGCTTTCGCTGAAACCATGACCTGACCGACATATAGATCAGCGATCTTACAAGGTACAGCTAAAGCTAAATTTTTGATGCCAAACGATCTGCTATTCAATTGTCTACAGAAATGCAAAATTTAGCGCGGCCACGCCACGCCGTTTGGAAACCACCGTGGGAATTTTTTTTTGGGGGCGGGGTCAACTTGACCCCTCCCCCCACCCGAGCGCGTGTTAATTTTAATGCCATTCATTCGGAATAGTTAAGTTGCGACGTGGTTCTTTAAATACATTCATTTTTATCTGTCTTGCCTTGCTCAGTTTATAAAAGCATCCAGACATCCATGCATTGAGTGATAGGCGGCGCTAGATGCCCAAATTTAAACCATGGGCGTAGGTGTTCTTCTCGAAGACGGTTGGGTTATAAGTCGTGCGATAACGGCCGTGGTGGGGTGTTTCCACACGTTCTCCCATCCTTAGGCGCCCACCCGCTCCGGTAAGCTGGCGAGCCGGGCGCATAATGACATGCGTGCTGTGGAATCACCAAAATCTGTAAGGGCGTGACGGGGGGAAGCGAAGCGAGTTACTCTGACCTACGAGTAGATTAGTGCAATGCCAAGAGGTGGGGATGATCACGGGCGAGGGAGCCGGTGAGCATGCACCTAAACGCACCTAAAATATTCACGTGACCAATTTATTTGCTCTGGTTACACTTTATACAGCGTAAAAAGACAAGTCCTAAGCTCAAAGGCTTTAGGGTTCATATATCCCACCGACCACAACTGGTCGTTTTTTCCATGCAGGTTGTTCAACGGAAATAGTCTATGGTAGTGCATACCAGTAGTCAAGTTTAAGGCCTTACAACCTGCCATTTTTTTCATTCACTGACCGCCGAAACCACGTCAGGTTCAAGAAACGAGCAGAGCAGTGCTGCCAGACCCAGGTACAACAGCAGCCAGTCGTCCCTGATTGCAGAGAGCGAATCATGCATTTATACTTTAGCAGGCTACTACTAGATGGCAGAAATAGCAGCGCAGTGGTGACGGGCGTTTCCCATGCTGATTCGTGATTGGCTGAGGAGGTCGGATTGTTTGGATATGTCAGTGTCGCGAAGTGTGCAACAATGGCGCAGCAGTCCGTGCTGTCGTAGTGCTTTACTCGATTCTTTTTGCTATTCATAACTGTGCGCATAAGAGCACGACTCGTTCACCGGTTGTTGCCACTAGTTCGTATGCCAGTGCGTCGTGTGGGCTTCGGCTGGGAACCGGTTCTCTGACATTTTGAATGTAGAACAGTGCTGGCGACGGTTTGTGGGCGGACTCCGTGCGAGTTTACGTTTGCCATCCTTTTCTTTTGTGGAGCGTGACTGGTGCATAGGAAACAACCATGGGCACGTCCCAAGCAAACAAAGAAAATGAGAAAGGAACACCAGAGAAAAGCAAGTCATCATTCAGAGGAAAGAATTGCCTGGCAAGGGTGACACTATTGGATGGCACTCTTCTTGAGTGCCAAGTGGAGGCAAGTACCTGCTTAGTGTGATACCATCTCTTGTTCCCTAAGATACAAACCATTTTCTGATTAGGTAATCCTGTTTAAATCGAAAAATAAAATATGCATTGTCTTTTCAGTTTACTTCTGGGTCTTCTGTCTTGTTTTCTTAGCTAACAGGCACTTCAGCTTTCTTTGTTGTATGGCAGGTTGCAGGAAGTGTCACAGAAGGCTGTTTGTATTTGACAACTATATACACAGCATGATAAACAACCAGATTCATGTTGGTGTTGTAGCCTTACTGTGACAGGAGCAGAGATATGGGTACATAGATGAGAGGACAGTATCAAGTTGTAAAAATGATGCCACCTGCCCCCCAAATGTGTTTACAAACAGGTTTCTCCCTGGGCTTGACCATCCTCTCTGAGTTTGGGGACTAAAGCCCAAGTTTAGGGAACTTGATCCCTCCAACTGGATAGGAAACCACATCCTTGGCCAGGAGGCAATGAGCAATAGCACCAAATTACATGGCATCATTTTGATGGATAAAACATTGTTGCAGGATATACAGAGCAGTAATCATGTGGTGTCATGCTTCATGTTGTCTGGCATTGTTTGTCAGGCTCCCAAACTGGGTCAAGGGGATTGCCAGCCTTTTTTCATAAAAATATTCTGTTTTTGTTAATTGCATGTGAGCAACATTGTTTGTAATTCTGCCAACAGTAGTTTAGGGCTGGCTATGTATCATCACCTACTTTGATATTTTTGTAGGTTGCAGCTGTGTTAAAATATATTTGTAACATTGATTTATGCCAATTAACCTAAACCCTAGCAATTTTCAATTTTGTATTATCCAACAATGCTTTGCATGTTTTGGTGTGCAGGAGAGAACTTGTCTTCTGTAAGTAAAGAACAGCTTTTTGAATAAAGCATTGTTGAAAAATATGTTGCACATGCTTTCTATGCAAAACACATATTGTAGTATGTTTGATGCATGGCATAGCCATTTTGGCTTGATATAGACACCTGAAAACAAAGTCTGCAACTAATGTAGAACCAATTCAGGTGCTGAAGCACACTAGCTTGAGTGTGTTACCCCCACCCCATTATGCTTACATCTGCGTCAAAGTATTCTGGTCCGGCCATCCTCTCCCATATTCAGTCACCACCAGGCTTTTGTTATTGCATGTGACACTCACAGCTGTCTGGTGCACCACAAAGTGTAGCCCAGTTGTTATGTAAGTATAAGTCTGTTTGGCTCAGTGGGCTCAGAATCTGTGAGACAGGCTTATCTAAATGAGGTGAGGTATGATCATTGCAGACAACTTAATTGCTTTGTGCCCTGCTGGTCCTTGAAGCTCCTGTAGCAGACTGATGGCTGTGAACAGGGATGCCAAAGCCAAAGCCAAAAGCCAAAGGGATGCCAAGCCAAAGGAAGGCTAGCACATGTCCAGCCCAGCGCTGCTGCACTCCACGCCGCCGGTGTGTGCCGCCAGCCTGTGAACAGCCTGTGAACGGGGCAGCCCCAGCGGCCGGCCGGGCCTGGACCGCGCCGGCCAGCGGCGGCCGGCCCGTGCCGAGGGCAGACCCCCGTCGGCACCGTCGGGAGCCTGCCACGCGACCGGGCGAACGCCGTCCCGGGAGCGGGCGACGACCGGCGACTAGCCGCCCGTGGGTCGGACCGCCTTCAAGGTCGCGTTTCAAAAGCCAACCGCCGCCGGTGGGCGACTCGAGCCGTTACGAAAAACGCCACGACTCGTCAAACAGCTGCGGCGGATGTGGCTGTGCACGATGGTCTGGTGCGCTATTCACGGTGGAATGCAGTTCGTGAAAACGGATCGTGTGATCACGATTTGGCCAGTGGATCCTCGGCCGGTTCTAAGATTGAAGCGACATTACGGGCTAAGTCTCTATCCACGTAAGCTACAAGGTTGATGCTAAGTTATGCAGCGTGAGTGTGTTGCGGATACTGCCGGGGCTCACTGCTCCGCGAATAAATGCGATACATCGGCCGCTGTCCATTGTTTGCCGTAACGTAGCCTGAGGTCTCATATTGCATCAGTGTCTGCTCCATGGGCCGACACGTACATTACCTACGTGCAACGGGTATGCATTTCAGTGACAGGTTTAGTCCCAGCTTTGATGTTTGCCACTCAGTTCATCTGCGCCGAGCGATGCCGGCGCCCGCAGTTGATCGTGAAGGGCTCCTCCTCTGTCCGGTGACGCCAGGGCCGGGCGGCGGTGGACTGGCGCGATGCCGCCAGCTGATAGGCCCAGCTGACGCCCCAGCGGGCTGTGACAGGGTCAGGGGGTGCTGCGAGCCCGACAGCGCATGGAGTACACCGGGTCTGGATGACTTGGTCGGTGCCCCGACGGGATGTGCAGGGATGGGCTCGTGCTCCGGTGGAGTCTGGTGGGATGAGATGATGCGCCGGCAACGTTTGGAGGAGTAAACTGGTACTCTGGCGGGGTCTGGGGACCGGAATTTGTTCTCAGCTGCGTCTGCTGATGTGAACTAAGTGCATGGTACGGTAGGCTCAGCGGATACTCCAGCACCGTCTGTCGGACTGAGCCCGTACTCCGTCGACGCCCGGCCGGCCCCAGACGGGCGCCGTGGGCAGGGTCTCTCGGCCGCCGCTCGCGCCGCGCCGCGGCCCAGCACGCCGGCCCGCGCGGCGCCGCGCCGCGCCATGATGGTATGCGGCCGCACGGCGCCGCACGGCGCCGCACTGCGCCGGGATCGGTCGGCGCGGCCTTGACTTAGCGCGGCCCGCTCCGGCACGGGCGGCCCGAGCTGTTGTCTGGCGGCCGGGGCTGTTGTCCGGGACGCCGGTGGCCGTCTGCCAGCCGGGGAAGGCTCGTCGAGCGTGCTCGGGGGTGGCGACGTGCGGAGTTGGCAGACGCGCTCGGTTGCGTCTGTGCGCCAAGATAGTAGGATTGCCTACTCGGTGATTGTGTCGGATTTCGGTGGCAGTAGCTGCATCATTATGCTATTTATGATACAGTTGCGCATGCGTTTCCTTTTTATTACAATCTAACGTATATGCTAATATGAGGTGGCGTCCCCACCCTCGCTCCGTATTCAGCCAGCGCGGGCGGAGACCACGGGGAGTGTGCTCCCCTTTCGCGTCGTCATTTGTGCGCCTGACCGTGCTTGACAAGTCAAACTGGGCACGCTTGATGGCTGCTCAAATCTCAGAGGCTTGCATTCTGTCCAGTTGGGCGCATTAAAGGCCGCTCCACAAAGCCACAAAGCCAAAGCCACTTGTGTGTCTTGTTCCCGCCTTGTTTGTTTGTGCGCTCCATGTGAGGATGGACTAAACGAGCCGCAAAAATACAGCTGCCCATCAAGTCGTAATGCTACCGTGGCCGTCAGCCGCAGCACGCAGCTTTGCCGCGGCCCTCTAACTGCGCGGCCGTCTTACTCTCCGTGGCGCCGCTCAGACGGGTGGAGGCAGCCATCCTCAGCCGAGGGAGTCCGCGGCGCGTGGGCATTTAACCGCGCGGCCGCGGTTCCGCCGTCTGGCGTCGCACAGTGGCGCGCCGCGCCGTCTCCCGCCGCCGCCCGCCGCGCGTCCCGCCGCGCGTCCCGCCGCGACAATGGCGCGCCGAGAGCGCCCCGTTAAATCCGCGGAGGAAGCGCGTCTCCTGGAGCGGGGTAATTGTTTCCCGTCGGCGGGCCGGGCGCGCCCCCGCCACTCTCGGTGGCGGTCCGTCGCAGCCGGCTGCCGGCGCGCTCCGGGTGGCGGAGCTGAGGAGGCGGCCGCTGTTGCTGGCGGGTTGGGGACTGCTGCTGCTGCGTGCGTGAGCCACGAGCCGCGGCTGCCGTCGTGTGGGTGGGCCAGGATGTCCGCCGGGAACGGAAGCGAGGCCGCTGGCTGGCTGAGGCTGGGGCTGTCTGTTCTGTGGAGATCGAGCTCTCGCAATGGCCGCTGAGTTGGCGTTTGATTCCTATTCACATCAATCTCGGCAGCCTGGTGGATGCATTACGGTTGGCTAGCGGAGAAAAAAGAAGAACGCGGAGGATGTCTGTATTCCGTGGCTTGGTACGCATCTCGATGATCGCTGCTAGAGGCGTTTCGTCCCGGGCGTTGTTTCACATTCTGGCCTTAACACTTCCATGTTCCAGAGTTTCTTTGTCTCTCGTCACGCGCTGGTGATGTGATAGCCGGCCGTTTCGTGAGCCAGAGTCAGCGGCCCTGTCGGTCTCTTGTCCTGCCCTCCCGCCACACCGCGGTGCACTGCCTCCAACCCGCCGTCCGCTGTTTAATTGGCGTGTCCGCACAGTGGCGCTGCACCGGTCCGTGCCCCGCCCGCCACGGCCGGCTGCTCCCAGTCCCCCTGTGATCGCCCGCTGTATGACACACCTCCCGCCACCGCCGCCGGCCGCTGGCCGCTACCCTGTGTGCGGGGAAAGGGGGTGGGGGGTCACGCCTGCTGTACACCCGTTGGGCGCCGCTGGCGGCCGAGCGGCTGGCGAGAGCACGGCCGCTGCCAGCTGACCCGTGGCTGCTGTGACTGTCCCCTGGCTTCTTGGGCTGACCCGTGGCTGCTCTGGCTGTCCCGTGGCTACTCGGACGGTCCCGTGGCTGCCCAGGTTCACGCGTGTCTGCTTGGGCTGACCCGTGGCTGCTTGGACTGACCCGTGGCTTCTCGTGCTGACCCGTGGCTGGTCGGGCTGACCCGTGGCTGGCCGACCTGTGCCTACTCGAGCTGACCCGTGACTGCTCGGGCTGACCCGCGGCTGCTTGGGCTGACCCGCGGCTGCTCGGGCTGTTTCATGGCTGCTCGGGCTGACCCGCGGCTGCTCGGGCTGTCCCATGGGTGCTCGGGCTGACCCGCGGCTGCTCGGGCTGTCCCATGGCCGCTCGGGCTGTCCCATGGCTGCTCGGGCTGCTGTTCATCCCGATATATGCGGGGTTACTGCGGAAGGCGGGCTTCGAAACACGCTTCCACTGAGACCTCATAAATCCGATCAAGTGATCCAGATCATGTACTCAGGCCAACACCAACGTCAGCACGCCCCCGAT